TTGGATCAGAACATCTCATATCGAACCTGCCCCCACCCCCCCCTGCAGCTTTGATCTGATTCAACAACCTGTTCTGTCTTCCTCTCCCTAGAGGTGAAGTGTTTCTGTGCTGGGATCAGTTTGTACTGAGGACGATGGGGTGAGAGGTGACTCAGGTTGTCTGTTTGTTCTCATCATTGTTGTTTTCTCTTTATGTTCAAACGATGCTGTGGTGAACAACCACAGGTGGTCTCAAGACATTTTAGTCTGTTTTTCTGTGAAAAGACACTGTCACTTCCACAGAGAGCTGGGAGCAGAAGTGTAGACGACGGCGTTCCAGGAAGCAGAGACATTCTGGAAAGCCTCAGAGGATGCGGAACGACACAAGTTGTGAAAACTGTGAGTATGACGAAAAAATAATAATAATGATGGCGTTATATGGTAACAAACTGAGAAATATTGTAACACAATCCCTGGTTGACTGGACTGGAAAGTCTTTAGCAACTAATTTTGTATAAAATATATTTGTTATCTAAGGATTAAATTTAAATAATACCTTACCATAGCAGTGCATGGAACTAATGAACCAGGACATTACAACAGCATACAAGAAGAATGAACAGCAAGGAACTAATTTTGTGAGAAAAAAGAAAAAGAAGTTAACGACTTTGTTCCCGTCATTTTATATATTTTTCATCCTGAATGAGGCTTCGTCCTATCTTTATTAGAATCAACCATTCTTTTTGTAAATCTTCTGTGAAGTTTGACTACAATGAGATCTTTCATTTTATATCTGTAAATGTAAGACCTATAAATGAAAACCAAAATATTCCCTTTGTCAACGTGACAAACTGGAACATAAAAATATAAAGCAGTGTTTAACCGCCATCTAGTGGTGACGTTACCATTCAACTGATGCAATACAAAAACATTTTTCAAAAACATATATTTATTCATTATTGAATTTTTTCCCCTGATTTTTCTACATTTAATTTCATTGGACTGTTGTTTCTATTTCTGTCTCTGCTTCGTCATCATTTCACTTCCTCTGAGAGACAGACACAAAGACGTCCTGGTGCATTCAAGGACGCTGCAAATCTTCAAGACTTCCCTTTGGGTTAAACCAAAGCCCCAGAAAATGTTTCCATGGAGTTAATAGTCTTCATTGTTCTGTTATTTCTCTGCCACTAGATCCTTCACATTTTCCTCTCTACCTCTTCCTCTCAAGTTCCTTTCCACTACCTTTTTTTTTTCAGGGAGGGGACCTCAAGCTGTGGCGGCCAGCCGGGCATAGGATTGGCAGCAGCTTTGATCGCCTGTTCCCGTCAAACTGCAGGTATAACAAGCCCCAGTGGAGCAGTAATCTTTGATACTCACACCTGCACACACAGACCTGTGCTCAGCCACTGCCGCTCTGTAATGTTAATGGACGTCTGTTATTCAGGTTAATCACAGCGTCCAGATGTGTTCCACCAGGCTGTGTTTTCACAGGACTCCTTTCATGGAGACACGAGAGGCAGTGGGTAAGTTCAGCACAGTTCATCCACCAACAGAGCACAGCCGTCGTCCGCTGTGACAGTTTCCATTAGGAAAATATTTTTTTGCCGATATCCAATATCTCAATATTGTCCAGACACTTAAATTCCAATTCCGATATCAACCGATACCAGTATATGCCTGGTAGTATTTATTTATTTATCTGTACACACCACTGTATGAGTTACTGCATTCTGCATACAATCCCCTAAATATTAAAAAAAGATTGATTAAATGAGGTGCAATGCTGCCATCTAGTGACTTTTACTTTCACATACAGCTGTTTATCCCTAAAACTATTTTCAGGGCTTAGGTCATTTGACAACACCCAGACATTGCGATATCGGGTTTTCAGAGGAAAAGCGATAGCAATTTTTACAGATATTAAATAATTATGCTAATATCAGCATCTCTAGTAAAAGTCTGCTCACACAAAAGCTGGTCACCTTCATCTACGAAGGTAAGCCTCTGAACTTTACTGAAGTGTTCAGAGAAACTTCTGGACCAAATCACCTGCCTTTGGTTTCTGCTTTTAATATGACGAAAATTAGAATCTTAACAGCTCAAAAAAAAAAAAAAAACACCTGATAAATGTGTTGTTGTTCCACCACATTTTCTTAACATTTAACTACACTTTTTAGTCATTGGAAAATGGGAGACAAGTTTAAAGGTATTTTATCGTGTTTCTGCACAAATGGATTTTCTCTCAGTGAAACGGTGCTTATTTTGATTTGTCAAATATTTTACGATTTCTATCATGGATATGTTTTTATGTGTTTTCGGTCTATAATCTTTAACTGAACTTTAAATGAGATTTTATGACATTTTAAGGAAGTGCTGGAATGTTTCAGGTGGAAGTGATACAGAAGGACATGAATTTCTGTCTCCAGGACACTGACATCACTGTTTGTCAAAAAACATTTGGTATCCAGATATTATTAATAACCTGTCACAGTCCAGATGTTTGATGGATGAGTGAGGAGGGAGGAGGAAACGCTCTGGATAAATGTGTGCACTGGGGAAAAGGAAAATCCTATGACTGTTATCGTAGTCTTTATAGAGTAAGACAGGAAGGAAGGAAGGAAGAATTTGTCCGTTTACAAGATTCAAGATTCTTTATCGTAAATGAGCAGTAACCTCATCAACAGAGCTATTTAAACCCCTGGTCATGTGACTTCTGAGCCGACTCCACCTGAGGAGAAGAGGAGCAGTCATGGTTCAGTTCTCCCTAGCCTCCACCAGGCCGATGTTTGAGGCCAGCTCCTTCACTATGACTTCATTTGCTCGGTTGGCTCCGAGGTTAGCTCACCCGTGGGCTGTTCCTGCTCAGGACACACGGTGGGGTGGGCTTGGTCGTGCACTGGATTAACCAGTTATTCACACACATCACTGACTTGATGTATTTGGCCACAGTCAGAGTGCTTTCTGTTCTCTCTCTACCTCTGTTCCATCCCCGAAGTCATAAATTTTGAGATCCTCCTGTGGAAACCTACTTCCTGCTTCTTTCCAGATGTGTTTAACGGTCTCTCTGGGCCACAATCAGCAGCAACACACAGAGGCCTTGTCAACTTGTAGCAGCTCATCCACTCTGTTTTTTGAAAGATCACTTTACTACAGAGCAAACGACCAGTGACGAATGGTCATATTCAGTGCTGTTTTCTGCCACAGTAGCCTGGAGTACACGCTCACTTTGTCTTCTCTGACTTCAGTCCACTCTATTTTAATATTCTCCGCAGTCCAGTCACTCATAATCATGTCATCTTATGCTGTGAAATAATAACCCTTTCATTACTGACGGTGCGGCCGCTCGTCACACGTGAGCTCCAGAAACCAGACTCTGGCAACTTGAGAGCCAGAGGAAATATCACACGGTTGAGCAGTGAGGAATCAGCTTTCCACCACTAGACTGGGAGCTGCAGTTCATTAAAGCTTTGCTCCGAGGGTTACTGTCAGTTCGGTTCATTAACAGAAGATTTTTATCTGGGTTCATGTTGAGGCTTAAAGGGTTCACTCAAGTTTGACTTAATACTCTGAGCTGATGGACTGACTTTGATCCCCCCCCCAACCATTTTACATTAGCGCGTTCCTGCAGCCTACCAACAAACAACACTACACAAAATGTACAGTATATACAGTATAAATACATATTTTGATTTTCTAAAATTAATTTTCAATTATTTTTTTCAGATTGTGGATTAATTATTATTTAAAGTGTATTCAATTTCTATTAAATATAAAATTAAACTAAAACAAATAAAATATGCTCTATCTACTCCAATAAACAAAATAATAATCAATATTGTTGTATTTTCTATTACAATAATAAGTTAATTCCACCAAAACAACCTGTGATTGTGAGGTTTTTATTATTATATTATGCTTATTATATATATATATATATATATATATTATAAAATATTGTTTTATAAAAATAACTCTTTAGATATTTATATATATATTTAGTAATAGTAATTTAGAAAAGTAGTAGAAAAAAAAGTGGATGGGGGATGACTCCAATTGTTTTATTTTCTAGGACTCTTCTTATAAGAGGAATTGTGGGTATTCCAGTAAGTCAATTCATATTATTTGCTTATTTGCAAACTGCAAAGTCAAAAAAATGAAACATTTACAATCTAAAAGTTTAATGTTAATCATTTAATAAATCAGGAGGGATGTCTCATAACAATATTCAAAATATAAAACCAGAGCACCAATAAAACTATCATTAAAACAGAGGAAATGTTCAAATTAGTTCTGCTCCTTAATATCATTAGCACCACACTGTGCATTAAATAGCACTTATTATTAATTTTGACAAAAGCTGTTAAATTTTAACTAAAAAAAAGGGAAAGTACAACATACAGATGCTGTAGTGCTACTGCATGTCCAGCTTTGTCAGAAATACCGAGTAGAAGATCTCTACAAATACTAGTCTAATAATAAAAAGAGAAACACATCTAATGTGTTCCATTCAGACAGATGTGTAACAGTCTCTGACACCTCCCCTTTCATTGGGCTGACCCTCGTTGATATTAGTGTCAGTTCATCTAAGTTTCACTGCGATACGGTGTCTTCAGCATTGCATCGTGGGACCACAAAGACATGGTTAAAACCTCACCGACTGTGTTTTACTGTGTGGACCTCAAACCGATGGCTGTTGTTTTCTCTGCCTTAAAGAGTGGAGAGGATTGAGGTCACAGGTGGCTCGCTTTGAGACGCTCAGGGGACAAGCTTCTTTTGCTGTTAAATTGCTAAAAAAAACAACAACAAAAAACAGAAAATCCTGGGTTTACATTTCAGAATTAAATAAATGATTAAGTTACATTACATTATATTTTGTACTACATACCCTTAGGACCAAATGTGTGCATGTTAATAAATCAAGTTTGAAGAAAAAAAGTTTAGAATATCTAAGCAAGTAAAGACCAGTTTAACTTGTTAACATAAATAACCCTTTAAATGTGTGTGTTCACTGATTCTTTTGTCACTTTCAATCACACACTTTACTGACTTACAAGTTTACGGGTCGGGCTGAGGGAGCGGGAGCGAACAGGGCTGACACTTCTGCTTCGGCTCCGGCTTCTGCTCCACTGAAAGTCACAAAAAGACAAATACATATCAGAGATGTTGTGTGTGTGTAAAGATATGTTTTTCTGTCATTCTTTTTTTACAGTGAGCGGCTCAAAGTAGGCTAGGTAACACCAATTGTATTTGCCCACAAGGACACGTCAGACATATTTATATACATTTTGAATACTGTATACTAATAATTAGGTTTTCCTTTTTTGTTGAAATGCTTCTTGGCTGCAAACATAACATTGTTACTGCATATATTTTTTACTTAATTTTCTATTAGCAGACACTGTAATGTAATTCTACCTAGATTAAATCTTAAGCGCCATTCAATTAAAGGAGTTGGAATCTGTGCACTGCATTGGATCATGATCCATGACTCACTGTTGATTTAATTTTCTAAGCAAAGCAGTCCTAGAGCTACAGTCGAGACAATTGTGAATATTCAGTACCAGTGCTCCCCTTCTGGTAACAGCCTCGCCCTTCACAATCACAGTGTTTCCTTCCATCAGTGCTGGCCACACATGGTACAATACCAGAGGAGCAGTGAACTCTGAGTCATAGCTACGGCGATACCTGTCATGATGTACAAACAACAAACAAATTATTATCCTTATTACAGGGACCAAAGTCTGGTTGTAATGAAGTGTTAAAGTGTCTAACGTTAGGCTGAAGGTGTGTGATCTAGTTAGGATTAGGTTGGTGTTTCACTGTGGTTATATTTGGGCTGAACACATAAACTGGATACATCCCAGACTTTACACTAAATCTTGGTGCCCTAGATCGATTTGTCATATTTCCTTGGCCCATACATGGTGTAGAGAGATACTGTATGATCCACTCCCACATGTTAGATCTAGAACAATTGTAGGTAATGTCACTGTCACATTCCCTACCAGTACATGTCACTTTAACGACGGGATTGCACTGACATCTAGTGGTCGAGACACAGCTAAAGCTACATCTCAAAAATAGCCAACATTTAACCCTATACTTTTTACTTTTCAGGGTCAAGGGGTGAGTTGGAGCAAGTCCCAGCAACCATCGGGAAAGGTAGGCCTCACCTCGTGGTATATCGTTGTTAGTCATACATCTATATGGTCTTTTCAGAGAATCAAGTTGATCTAACACTGCATTTTTGGGTTGTAAGAAAAAAAATCCACACACATACTGTACCCCCCTCCAACATTAACTTGAAATTTAAAATAATATACTACAGAATGCATATAAGTAATATATAATATATAAAATTGTGGTTTTTATTCTATTTTCATATTTACTTCATTTGTTTTTAGAGCATTGAACAGTGCACTGACTTGTTGTCATTGTAAAGTTCACCATCAGTAGCAAATGCCAAGTCAAGTGAGGGCTCCAGAGTCTGCATGGCAAAGGCCACCCTGCACATCTCCCTGATCAAGGCACTGATGAGAGCAAAGTCCACCTCTGGGGGAAAGGAGATCCGTGGGTTTACATTCATAGCATTGATCACACCCTGAGGAGGAGAAATATTCTGTCAATGTCCACTCCCAGTGTCAAAGTTCAGCTGTTCACTGAGCAGGTACATCACACAAGAACTTACATTGACACTGTCCTGTACATCATAGAGGTCCAAATTTCTCACAATGTAGTCCACAGCTGCATCCTCTAAGCTTTCTGGTCCAAAGTGAGTGGAGGACAAGGTCTTTCTCACACGAAGTTTAAACTGACGATAGGCTAGTTTAGCTGTCTTGAAGGATTCCTAGGAGATAACACAACAAAAAGTTATAGTCAAACAAGATCAAACCACATTATTATTTATTCCGTCGTTTGTTTCTTTGTCTTCTGTAGCTCATACCACAACAGCAATTAAGATAATTTTCTGGACCATTTCAAAATCAGCAATGTAGCGTCGGAGCAAGCTCTGGGCCTCCACACGCTCCACAGCGTACAGGTCATTGAAGCGGGACACAAGGCGGGCATGCCGGGAGGAGTTGGTGAGCTGGGCCCTGGTGGGTGATTCAGTTCTCAAGGGGCTGGGGGGGCGGCTGAGTCTGGGCAGAGGGCTGGGAGAACGACTTCTCGCCAGTCTCAAAGTAAAAAACATGAATTAGCCAAATGAATATTAACTTCCCTGTTCTGTACAGTAATGTGCAGTGTGTCGTGCACGAGTACCTCTCCTTTAACATGGCCTTCTCTGTGCTCAGGTATGACACTTCCTCTCTCAGTAAGCGCACCTGATGCTCGTAGTCATCAACAGCGTTCAGTTTACGCTTGTAAGCCTCCAACTGTTCATGTGCAGCTCGCAAACTGAAACGCAGGCACACTTCAGAAATCCACATCTACTATTTCTCACCAGGAACATTCATATGCAGCTATGTGAATCACCCACTCTGCTTTGAGTTGCAATATTTCATCTTCAGTAGCCAGCAGAGTGGTTGCTGATCTGCTCTTTGTCTCATCCAGTTCTTTCTGAGCATCAACTAGACTAGAAAGTCAGAAATAGTAGTGCTTTATTTTTAATCTTATCCAGAGAGATATTACACTTGTTGACACAGTTTTACTAATGGAACTCTGGATTGTGTCACAACATGAAAAAATCTTTGTCAATTAGCATTCCTGTATTTATCAGACTTACTCTGCTCTTATGGAGTCCAACTGCAAGCGAGTGGAGCTTAGCTGAGTTTCCATCTTATGCATTTCACTGCCATGAGAGAAAGAGAGCTCCCTGATCTTCCTGTCCTTCTCCACAGAGTCCTGACATCACAGACATATGGAAACTACAGTATAAGGATTCTCAAGTAGTGAGGAAAAGATTTGAATGGGACAATTATTTTTGATAAAATGAATGTGTTACATCAAACAAAATCAAATATTACATGTACAGATTATATTGTTCCTGACAATGTCACCTGGATGAGCTGCAGACTGGTATCATCAGTGACTGAAGGTCTTGTCATTGAGAAACTTGTTCCAAGCCAAGGCAGCAGACGTGTTTTCAGGATGTCCACTCCAGCATACTGTCCACCTGATTTACAGAGACAAACAAATAACTCTAGTTATAAGTATGTTTAGATAAAATGTTAATACTTAAAATACAACAGAATACTATACTGCAGATTCTATGCTTACCTTCTGCAGAAGTGAGGTTGAGAATAGCAAACAGTTGGCCCTGGATTTTTGCAGTTAATTCAATCAGCTCACAGCATCTATTAAGACTCTGGTCACAGGAAATGACCTGAGTGGATAAATATGACTTCAGGTAAACACCAATTCTGTATGCAAAGTCAGACATTTATTTTTCACAGACATATTTCCCATGATAGTTTAAATGTTTCAGAAGGTGTTTATTAAGATTGTCACGAATTCCAGTGCTTTGATGATGGAGTTATATAAAAACTAAATGTTTTTATATTGTGGTAAGTTCTGCAGGTCTGTTGTGTTACCCAGTTATTTGTTAAAGATTCACTAGTTTTTTAGGTCATTAAATTGTCTCTCTGCTAATTTAATTATGTACCATGCGGATCTATTTTAACATCTTGTTAATATTTCTCATTTGGAAAAATATAACTATAAAAACTATAAAATATAAATTGCCTTCCCCTTTTAACTAAAACCTAATTCTACATGAAAACGAGCAAATAAAAAAAAATACAAAAAACGAGTAATTAAGTTTTAAAAAGATGGCTAAATGTGCAATGGTCGTATATGTCTAAGAGGTCTACAATTACGGTTTTAAGCAGTCACTTCCGGTCTTTTAAGGCCTCTTTCCGGAAGTTACTGGACTTGAACTATCAATCCTGGTTCGTAAAACATCTTTGGAATGGTTAAACTGTAGTCATGGTGACAGGCGTCCATAGCAACAAAACCCTTTTTGCCGCAAAATCAATGTTGACTAATTTCTGTTATGTGCATTCCTTTAGTATAAAGTTTTAAAAAACTAGACTATATCCAACACAACGTGTTAAAACAGCAATAAGCATAAAATCAGAGTGACGGGATTGTTAAACAATATGTAGCTGACCATAGTAAACAAAAGCAGATGTTAGCTTTTTAAATAAAGAATACAATTTTACAATAGAACCATAACAAAGATAAGTTTTTAAATTTACACTTAACATTCTGATGTGCTGCTGTTTCTTAATATAACAACAGTGAAACGGATATTTGTTTGAGTATTGTGGTCAGATTTAGGTCGGTCATGACTTATTGATAAACTTACATGATAATCTTGGTGCCAGCTCTCCAGCTTCTCCTGCAGCATAGTGAAGGAAGATGTGGTGGCAAGTCTTCTTAAACTGTCGGCCATGTTTACCTGAGAAAAAAAATCGACTCTTTAAAACGGGATTAGAAATGCTGAGAAAACCCGTTGCTGGCAGCTCTGACTGATTGTCTGTCTCTCTGACCAGTGACTTCACTAATGCCAAGCACCGCCTCAGTTGTGGAAACCAAGTGAAGAGACCAGCAGACAAACGGAGGGTGAAACAAAATGATGGATGTTCCAGAGGTGAACTGGTAGTCGTCCTGGTCCTGGTCCATAGGAGTCTGCTGCATTTACGACTGTAATGTTACACTGTCAAGCGACACCAAAGACGAGCGGAGTAAACAGAGGCTCAGTATCACACCGACACATAGTACCACTGCTTCTGCAGTAGCAGATTGAATCCGATTATAATGTACAGGTTAATAATCAAAACCAGATACTTTCAGATTGGAACGGTTATCGGACTGTACGCGCATCACTTTGCAGTTAGCATTGCAGTTATTGGCACGGTTAAATCTATTTCTGCTTATACCAGTAAAAACGGTAAAAATGCAGTAGCAGCAGTAGGAGGAGGATGGGTAATAGTATTTGTAGTACCGCTATTTATTTTTTTTTTCATGGTCTGTATTGGGAGAAGTACCAAGTTTTTGTAGTGTGACCATTAACAAAGGTATTTTATTGTCATTACTTTTTATCTTATAATTTATAACTTTTATAATTTTATGTAATAATCGTAAATTAGTATGATTTGTAAACAACAGCACAGTACAGTGTTGTTATTATATAACAATATTAATATTATATTAATTATATTATTAATAATAATAATAATGAATAATAGTGTCCGCTTTCCAGTAGGAAAGTATGAATGGACTCCCTTTTTTCTATTTTAGGATCCTCTGTCATTGGTTAAACTTGGACTAGACCATCTCATTTTGGTGTTGTTTTTTTAAAGCACGCAGCTGTAATGCAATTTACCATTTAATCGCAGTTCACCGTAATGGTATTCATAAAACATAGATCCTTGTCTCAAATTAAATTGAAAATAATATTTCCGTTTTCTATATTAAAGTTCGTGACTTGTGAAAAGTGGTACGGTCTCTGTCCCTCCGCTGCAAACTGGAGAGAGGATCAACATGGCGTCTGAACAGGTCCGTTATTTTCTTATATTCCTATTTTTCTGACTTTTAACTTAAATTTTAACCTAAATTTCTGTTATTAGGGTTTTAATGTGGTCCAGTGGAGTTGTGACATAATACTCTGTCATTGTAATTCACTCACATTGTATAATCAGTGTAATGAATACTGGCCTCTGCCTCGTTATTGAGAGCGCTGTAGCAGTAAACCATTATTATTTCAGCATTCATAGCTCAGCATTTTGACTAACACAGTTTTTATTACACAAAGAGTAAAGTAAAAAAACGATATATTTGCCTCAAATGTCAATGTAATTTAATTTTATTGCTGCATTTGAGTTGTGTTTATTTTTAGTCATAGCCACAGACAGGGAGTCGCAGGGTATTTAACTGACATACATTCCTGTGCAGAGACACTGAGAGACCGAATTGGCTTCGTTTAAATTTACGTTACTGTTGCTGTGAAAATATTTTAAAAGAAAAGGGAGATGACGAGCATTAAGTTAGCTTAGCACAACCGCACACTACTGTGTAAAACACTGTCGATGGTCGTTACGTTTGTTGTCCTTTTTCGCCAGTCAGTTTCATGTGTTTAAAAGGTGACTAACAGGACACTTTCATAGCAGACGTTTTGACAGCTTGACACAGCTACCTAAACTTGTGGGTCGAGGACCATTGGAGTGCTTTGGAGGTATTGTGGAATGGCAGTAACTCCAAAGATATCGTAAATTTCCACTGCAGTAGGCTAATACATCAGCTAATACGGATGTTTGGACGATGTATGTGTAAAATACATTAACATACAAAAACAGACAAATATCTTCAGACATTCATACATTATCTACCTCAAAAATGTGTCAAATATGTGTTTGCTAAGACAAATGTTTATTTTGGTCATATGTTTACATCACGTACTGCAATACCAATACCTATATTGTACTTTTTATACTGTTGGAGAAATTTCCTTCTTTGTACCTTTACTGAGCCCGGAACCTTCGTCCTTACACAGTTTGACCTTAGTATACAGTTAGAAAGAAGAGCAGAGTGTAATAAATAACTTAATGACTATCCAGTCAGCAACTATGACCAAGAATCAGTTTTCATTACTGTGTGTTTGTTTTAAAAATAGGCACATCACACTAGAGTTTAACTGCTGATTAAATCCCTTTTTTCCCCTTCAGGAGAGTTCTAATGGGCCTGTGAAGAAGTCAATGCGAGAGAAAGCCATAGAAAGACGTACCATCAATAAGGAACACAACAGTAACTTTAAAGCTGGCTATGTGCCCATAGAAGAGGAGCGTCTTCATAAGACAGGTCTGAGGGGACGTAAGGGAAACATGGCTGTGTGCATCATTGTCCTCCTCTTCCTTCTCGCCTTAATTAACCTCATTGTAAGTAAAACCAATGACAAACCATCATCTGTAGAATACATTGCATTTCAGCTGCCTGACTTGTCTTGTACTGACTTTCAGATTACACTAGTAATATGGACAGTGATTCGTATTGGTCCCAATGGCTGTGACAGTATGGAGTTTCATGACAGTGGCCTGCTGCGTTTCAAACAGAAGGCTGACATGGGCATTGTTCACCCACTGCACAAAAGCACCATCGGCGGGCGTAAGGACCAGGACCTGGTCATTGTAGGAAACAATAATCCAGTGAGAAAAAAATGATGTTTTTTTTTTTTTTACATCTATAATAATATGACTAATCCATCGCTAGTTTTATTATTTAAAAAATTCTCAACTTAAATTTCTGTGGGTTTTTTTTTTTTTTTTCAGGTTGTGTTTCAGCAGGGAACAACTAAACTGAGTGTTGAAAAGGACAAAACATCAGTTGTCAGTGATCTTGGCATTTCCTTCACAGACCCACGAACACAGAACACATTCTTCAGCACAGACTTTGAAAACCATGAGTTCCTGTTGCCAAAAGGAGTCAAAGTTCTCAGCGTTAAGAAGGCGTCTACAGAAAGGGTGTGTACAGAATGTGGTAAATTGCTCTGTTATAGCTGTATAAAGTTTGTTATCAGTGTCGGTGATTCATTGTGCATGAAATTCTTTCAGTTTCTGTAAACGTCAAAACATGAATTTCTTTTATCGCTGTCTATATTTTGTCAAAACTTTAATTAGTTAAGCGCTGCTGATCTTGAGGCACGAACCAGAGCAGTGTCATTGGAGCCACCAGTTGGACTCACTCACTTTTTTAACAGAACAGAACTTGAGATAATTAAACTGCCAACAATATTTTTTTAATCAATGAAAAATGTATGTAAGGTGGACAGTCGGAAAAAATATTTTATTGATTGATCAATTAAAAAAAAAGTTATCTATTGTGGCTGGATGTCCCATCTTTCTTCTTCCACCATGTTCTCCTGTTTTCTTCTGCTTATGCCATCTTCTGATTTGATGTTTTCCGATATATTCCAATGTTATAAAATAATACCAGCCTGCTTTCTTCAGTCCTCTTCTTGTACAAAAAAGAGCTTCCTTTGGTGTCTTATCCTAATACAGAAGCAGCATTTTCTTTTTCTGTGACTCCTGTAAAAAACTGATTTTTGTTTGTTCTGGTTATTTTTAACATTTTTTTTTTCACCTTTAATTTTAGATCACCAGCAGTGCCGCTTCTGACTTAACCATCAAAGGCGACAGCAAGGCTGTTATTCGTGGTAACGAGGGGGTCAACATTATGGGCCGGACTGTGGAGTTCAAGGTGGGAGGAGGGATCGAACTGAGAGCTGTAAGTGTCATAATCAAAATTAGTTGCATTATCTCAGAATTACAGTGTTGGAGATGAGACTCTGTGGTCACATGATCATTGTGGAATTGTCTGTGTACAGGAGAACAGTATCATCCTCAACGGATCAGTCATGTTCAACGCCACACGTATCCCCAACTCAGCTGGGGACGTGTATTTTGACGAGGGTATGGAGAGGTACAAGCTGTGCATGTGTGCAGATGGGACTCTCTTCCGTGTGCAGGTGAAGTATCCCAACATGGGCTGCCAAACGTCAGATAACCCATGTAAAAAATCTTTATAAAAGACTGGCCTGGGAACACACCACTGACTTCAAATCACAAAATTGCCAAACAGAACTTGACTAACATCCAACAATGCTTTGACATATCAATGCCTTTGTAGCCACTTGATAAAATCAATTACTTTTTCAATGCAAATCTGGAAATTTAAAACAGATCTTTACCACTTGGCCAAAGATATAAGCAGTCAATTTGTGTTTTTTATTGATATTTGCTGACTTTATTTAACTTTGTTTTGCTGTGTATGTGTTTTCTGTAATTAATGATACAGAGATTAGGTGCAGTTAAATGTTGTTAATTACTTTTTTTGCCGTGCCACCTAGTATTACTGTTCAAACACTACAATGCCCTTTTCTAGTAGGGTTGTACTGATACCGTTTTTTGACACCCCTGCTCTAAGGCTAATGCAGAACACAAAATATTGTCCATTTTTGCACATGCCAACACTTTATAGGGGATAAAACATGAGCTGTACTTGTACAATATTTTAAGGTTTATTGCAAATACGGCTTTGGGGTGTTTACATTAAGTTTAACTACAGAATAATGCATTGATGTTTATAATTACAAATTAAATGAGGCCTACAAAGAGTTGTTTAGACTTGCAATATACTATACGAGCTCTCTGTTTTGTAACAGTACTGATGTGGAGAACATTTGTTCTAAGGTAAAAGAGAGAAAATCTATCTTTTGTCAAACATTTCACTGCTTTGTTTGTTTCAATAAAAAAACAAAATGTTCTTATTTGAAACTTATCGTTGTTGTCGCTGGTTTCAGTAAATATGTTAAATGTTGATCTTTTACAGCCGTGAAAGCAATAAACCGCTTTCTATTATCTAATCGAGTGTGTGGCAAGGGCTTGGCTCACTTCACCATAAAATGTCAGGATCAGCTCTCTGTCCAGAGAAAAACAATGACAGTAAGACATTAACTACACGTGTAAATGATTGAATGAATCACTGGTTGTTGTCCCTGGGCAGGTACATGTTAAGCTATGCACAGCAAATTGTAGTTCAGACTTTGATCAGAAACAGCTTGAGACGGTCTGAGGGAAACACTCTGGATTCTTAGGGAGAGTCAGTCTTCCTTTGAGCAAAAAAAGGCAACACAGGTGAGTGAGATGAACTTTTTCTTTTTAGCCTATTTCATGTGTAACAATTTCAAACACTTTTTGAAACAGTCATCTGTGTTTGTTCCTCAGACCAGGAACAATGACGTCGCCAGTAAGGCTGGCATTGGCTGCCTTGCTGCTCCTCATCTCCTCTGGAATCCGTTGCTCCTCTCCCTCGCCGTCTTGTCTAGAGTCCTGTATCTGTCCAGGAGCGACCGTGTTGAACTGTTCTTCTTCGAGCCTTTCAGCAGTGCCTCAATATTTTCAAGACTTTATTTCAGAGGTGGACTTGACTCACAATCTCCTTGATTCCGTCACATTCCACCGGCCATATCGTGAACTAAAGAAGATTTGGCTAGGCAACAACACCGTAAAACGCTTGTCCCTCTGTGTGGACAGACACCTGGGGAAACCGTTTGTCAGAGGTAGACATGCACGTGGCTTGAGACCTTGGAGCAGATGTATATCATGGGGCCCCGCCTTGCAGCTGCTATCGGTTGAGAGGAATCAGCTGGAGCAGCTCCCAGAGGGTGAGTGTAACAGAGTCATACAGCCATATTTAAATCACTGTTACACCCTGTGAATATAAAAACAACCACTTCCTGTAAGCAGAACGTTACAATCAATGTACAGTGAATTGATCTGAACTGGTCAGGTGCCACAGTGGCAGGTTGGTTACCATATTATTCACATATAATAGTTTTCTATATCTGCATAGTATTGTTGTTGATTTCTGTGTAGTGCTTTTGTTGTTACAGTTAGACAGCTGCTTTTAGCCATTCACTTGCACTGGGGAATGCAATAATTTTGTGTTGATGTTTTGAAAAAAAAAAAACTGTACTGCCTTTTAAAAACAGTGGGATTCCTGGGTCTGTTTAGTTGAATACAACCCTGATATACTCACAGGAATTTAACAAAGACATACATGAAGATTTTTAATATCTGAGTTTTTAATAGCGATCTGCTGCCATCTAGTGAAAGAGTAACAGAACTCTTCAACCTGTTTAGGTGTTCTGTGGTCACTGTTGCATAAACAATAACAAATTATCTGTGGTAAATAATTAATAGTGTTTAGACCAAATATGTGAATATGCAACCCCGGCATTTTCCACTGTAAACCTGATACTCCTTTTTAGTACATATTTTAGGTTTAATGATTTAGGAAATCTATTACTTTGTCGTTTCATTCTCCATTTCTTTGCCAGAGCTGCTAACTTAACTTGGTGCACTGTACTGCAAGGTTTCTGTTCTATTCTATTTTTCTGTGTTTCATGTTCACATCATCCATAACACAGTACAGTTTCTTAATCTGTTTAATTTTATTTTTAATTCAATTTATTTTCACAAAATAATTTTTATTGTGTATTTTTGTTTATTCTATAAAGTAGCTAGTAACTAATTGGTGATCAAGTCACTCTACTGTGGTCCAGAATTGACCAGGATCCTTCTGATGAAATAAACTTTATGTAGTTTGTTTTGTAGCCAATTACTATTACTTACTATAGCCTTACCATCGTGAAAAAAATCCATAAAAATAACCGATTTAAAGTCCCCAAAATGCACTAAAATGCAAGATTATGTCTTAAAACATGCTGCCAAGTGAATATTTTGTGTTTAAAAGTCCAAAACGTATTTTATATGAATATTTCAAAAAGCACCCAAAACAATGACTAAGCGGTCCAAAAAGTATTTTATATAAATATTTCAAAAATCACCGAAACGTCCCCGAAAGGAATTAAAATGCAAGATTATGTCTTAAAACATGCTGCCAAGTGAATATTTTGTGTTTAAAATTCCAAAAAGAATTTTATATGAATATTTCTAAAATCACAATATTCATAATGCACAACTTAAATTGCCCTCTGGAATGTACTGGAAAAAATGTTCTCTCTCACAAAATACAGTAAGTTATTCCAAGAATCTGGTCATAAATCTTACTGAGAGAATCTGAAGTACGTCCATGTGTTTTTAGACAAATAGAGTTTGTATTCACTGTTTGCATTTATTCAGCTCTTATTTCTCTAACACCCTCCTGTTCCTTATCTGTACCACACATCGCTCAGAAATTATTAGACCTCCTCAGATAGTGCTGTAAAACCCTGGTGCAATCACAGTTTTATGGACATTCCAATGGTCCTCGTAAAGAGATTTTAAGTATTTACGGCCACTCGCCATTTTTATTGTGTATTATGTTTTGTTTATCTGTCTCTCTTCTGATTAGTTCAGAGACATGTTCAACACAGTTCTTGTAAAGACATGTGGGGACAGCCCATTTACTTAGTGGGAGTTGCACTGACAGACTGGCTACTTATCTGTTTGGTAGTCAGAACACAGAAATCCAGCACCTGATGATGTATAGTTTCACAGCACCTTACTCCAGCTTTGAAGACCCAGTGAGAGGGTGTCAAGAAGAAGAGAGTATGGAAAAATAAACATCGTACAGCAAAATCTGAATTAAAAAATAAATAGCACAAAATCTAACAAGACGTTCATTGGCAAACATCACCTTAAACCAGGTGTAAGTAACCCACAATAAAAACACATGCGTATGTTCCCCTGTTTTAATGTCTCTTTCACTAATTAAGTCAAATAAAAAAAGGGATAATTAATAAAAATACATCATTAATGTATGGGGTTTTTTTTGTTAGTTTTGCATCCATGTGGAACCAACCAAAGTCCAACTTTTATTGCTTTTATTGCTATTGTCACATTGCCAATTGATCTTAAATACTGTCTGTGTTTGTGATGCACACTGTAACTAGCAATACACCCTGTTGAAATGTTGTCTAAGTCTCTTTGATTAAGAATCATACTAGAGTAATATCAGACTGACTCAGTCTAATATGATGTACAAAATGTTAGAGAGTTTATTCTGAAGGAACTCAAAGCTTTACAACTTACATTGATGGCTGAAATCATTGAAAAGCACAGAGATGGCCTCCATAGTGGTACATTATTTAGTATTGAGATAGCTTGAGTTAGCTGAGCAACATACACTGGGCATTGTTACAGTACTGCACTGTAAAAAAAATACTGCTGCCTATAAACGCAAGAAATGCTAAGCTGTAAGAAACAGCAAATGACAAATCAGATCAAACATTTTATCACCTGGTTGACAGAATGATCTCGTACCAGGTAGCACAAAAGATGTTATTATTATTGCATTTTTGTGTAAACCTGTCTAGGTAAGGGTGTCTACAAAGTAAGTCAGTCTGTCATTTTAGATGTTTTTAACACCGCTGAATTATAAATTGTGATAATAATGTTTTATAATTTCGATGTCAAGCTGTTATATAATCTGTTTTGTTATTTTTCTGTCCTCCAGGACTTGAAGGAAGCTCATCTTTACAGGTTCTGCAGCTCTCCTTCAACAGAATCGCAGCTCTACGACCAGTAGACCTAAGTCAACTTCATCAGCTGAAAGAGCTCTACCTGCAGCATAACCTCATCAACAGTCTCCACCCACAGATGTTCGAGAATTTAACCCAGCTTAAAGTAAGAAGAACTTTTAATTAATATTTTGTTTTGTTCTCCATCTTTTCTTTGTTCCTTAATAGTATGCAATATTGATGCAATAGGATGCATTTGGTGTTTGGTACATTGAAAAATTCCAAAATTATTTCCCTAATTTTAACAAGGTACTTAAATTAAATTAATGATTAAATTAGTTAATTAAATGATTATTTTAAATAAAATGTGCTCTGACACCTGCTTTATTTGTATGTGGTGTTACTGATACAGGTCCTTGATTTGAGCTTCAACTTGTTGACCAGCCTCCACCCTCTGAGCTACATCTCACTGCGCAACATTGGGGCAAATGTCAGGCTGGCTGGTAACCTGTGGCAGTGTGACTGCAGTATGCGTACTTTTAAAAGATGGATGGCCTTAGACCGCAGCAGAGGTCTGCAGACCTGGAACCTGGAGTGTGCCTTCCCCTCAATCCACTCTGGCAAAGACCTGCTACAGTTGGAGGATGACGACCTGAACTGTGTTGCTACTGAAAACAAACCCGAGCATCATCGCGATGTGACAGTTTATAGTGGCTCTGACATTCTTCTGTCCTGCGCTTCACAAGGTAATCTAGTTAAAAAAAATAATAACAATGTCTTCATTTTCCAGTACAGTTTTTGCACCATCCATTCTCTCATCCATTCCTATGTAATCATTAATTTCATTTCTTACTAAAGGTCCCTGCATATACATTAATGACTTTATTGCCTTTGCATTAAAACCATTAGAGTCATTGATATTTAAACAGCTGCTTTGTTCCCAAGAAAATAAAAACCCTGTATGAAATAATACAGACACTAAGTCTGCCTTATGATCATTAAAAAGTACCTGATTTGTCACTTTGACAGGTAGGAAACAGATTATTTTTTTCTATAGCTAACAAGTTGCAGTCAAATACATAGACCAGAAAATAGCAATGCTCTTACTTACCAACAGTATTTTGAATCTAAACAAAACTCAAAGCTGCTGCTTTTTGGGGAAAAGATCTGGCAATCAATTACACAATTGCATTTTGCCCTTTGGTTCGCCTATCAAAAGGTACATCATTTAGATATAGATATAGAAATTGTCCACATGGAAGGGCCACAGCCAAAAATGCTTCTAAAGAAGGTTAAAGGACAGAGAAGGCTAGGGTGTGCAGAATAAGAAAAGCCATGTTTGACATTTTGGTTCATCACCAGCAATAGAATGAATGAAAGACCAGGAAAACAAACCCAGTAAGAAAAACCATTTACTGGACATGACTAGCGTTTGACTGGCCTTTACAGGCCTGACCTAGACAAGCAACAATCATCCAAAGAACTTTGGGATTTTTTCAGGTTTGGAAAAGTATTCCAAAGTTTACCTGAAAAGAAAAACGTAACAACAACAAATAATACTTTGAAGAAATTGAGTGATTCAGTATATTTAAATCTTAACAACATCCATCCATCTTTAGTTTCTAGAAACTTTTTTTATTTTTATTTATCTAAATAAAACTTTAAAACAGAGTTCCAAGGACTTCACAAGGTTTGACCACATGTAAACATTTTCCTCCCTGCAGACTCGTTGTGGTGGACACCTGGGGGTTTAGGATCTGTGAGTCAACCGCAGACTGGTCTGTTCATCAGTGAAGTCACAGAAAAAGATGAAGGACTATATGTGTGCATGTCTGAAGAACCTGGTGTGTTTTCTGTTTACAACCTCCAAATCAACAGAGTAGGACAAGCAAAAAGGACTCCTAGAAGTGCACCTGGAATTAGTTGGGAAGAAATTCCAGAGCGCGTACCAGATATGATAGGTGACAAACGAAACCTGAGGGCTACACAGTGTAACTTGGCTCTGGCAGTGTGTCTGTCTGTTCTCGTCACGTTTCTTGTAGCTTTTACCACTGGAGTCCTTACGAGGCCTTATATTGATGTACTTTTGGCAAAGAACAAAAAGAAAAGCCCCTCTGAAAACACTGGCTCATCAGAACAACGAAGACCGTATGACAATGAGGGCTTTTCTGATGGTGAGTCTGAAGAGGTAGTGGGTCACAGAGAAAGGAGAGTAACCTTTAGTACCACTACCATCAGAGAAGATGATAACGTTGAATACTATGATACTGTAGCAAACAGCAATCAGGAAATGGTCAATAATATTCGTGAAATTGAAAGTGATACTGAGGCTAGAAATGCCACAGTAGGACATTCAGTGAATGGACACCGTGTGAGTCAGAGTAGTTCAGAGGACAGCCACAGTGAGAGAGAAGAGCACTCAGCAGTCACCGATACTCACAGGATAGAGTATGAAAACATCCCAGCTCCTGTTGACATGGTGGAGAAAAGGAGATTTTCTTCAGGCTCAGACGATTCTGATAGATCATTCAAAGAGGAACAAATACACCACACAACAATCAAGTCTCCACAGCTGGCAGCAGACTCCTTTCAGCAGAACACTGAACACTTTACTACATCCTCTCCAAGATCTTCCTCTGAGGCCTTCACAGACTGGCCGCCACTCAAAAGTAACACAGCCAGTTCAGAACTGTGGCAGGAGAGCGGTGATCAATTTGAATTTAGCGATTCTCCTCGAAGTCCTTCAGAAAGGTCAAGTGTGTTTGGATCGTTTAAGGATTCAGAAAGGATAGTGGTATCGACTGCAGATAAACCCAAAGGTAATATCTCCAGCTCTAGCTCGTACATCAGTGAAGATGAGCCAACAGAGTACACCTTGAACTCAGACCTGGAGGAAGAAGGAGACCAAGAAACGAACTTTGGAAGGAATCTGGACCCACGAGCACCTTCTCCACATGCACGTTATTCCTCCAGCAGTAACAATGAAGCAGAAACTACAGGACTCCAAATAAGTGACAGTAAAAAGCATCTGAATGTTGGTGCTCAAAAATGTGATACATCTTCTGATGATGAGAGTTCAGAGTATCTACGTTATGCAATTTTTCCAGAAAGACCTGCTCCTTCCATCAAAAGACGCCTGGCTATCCGGGTGAAATTACCATCTACTGCTTCTGATTCAAGTGATGAGAGTGCAGATGAAACCATAAGTCCTACACAAAAGCAAGTAGAATTGCTGTTGCAAAAAACACAGATGTCCAGTCGAAGGCTTCATACAAGTTGGCCAGTTGTAGATCTTGAAGATGTTCCCCGCATCAGAAGGCGTCTAGATTTCAGAGCATCAACATTGTTTTCTGAATCGTCCTCATTGCAGAAATCTGAAACTTCAAGGTATGAGAAGAGTAACAGTTCTGACCTTCTTTTAAAAGGATCTCAAAGACCAAGACATGAAACAGTCACAGTATGGCCTGCCTTGAACCTTGAACACATTCCTCACATCAAGAGACGCCTAGATATAAAAGCACAATCACCATATACTGACTTATATTTAAGTACTGACAGTGAAGATGAATCAATATATTACACAGAGAGACCAAGATCGGTGAGCAATACAAACCTGCCTTTGCAAAGTGATATTTATGGAAGTTGGCCTCTGTTAAATCTAGCAAACATTCCTCATATTAAGAGACGTCTGGATGTCAAAATATTTTCACCTCCGAGATCACTTTGGAGTGACAATGAGTATGAAGCCATAAAATCTACAGAGAGACTAAGGAATGTGGACATTACTAAAGATTTTGTATTAAAATCTCAACCTCCAAGTCAGGAGCAACATGGAAGTTGGCCAGTTTTAGATCTTAAAAATATTCCCCGAAATAAACGACGTCTGGATTTTAAATTGTCATCACTGCCCTTTGAGTCATCGCTAATCAATTATAATGATGATGACATATTTAATTACACTAAGATGCCAGGAATGGTGGAGATTGCAGCAATATCAAAGCAAACATCTCAAACTCCAAGTCATGATCTCAGTACCAGTTGGCCTGCTGTGAATCTTGGAAACATTCCTCACATCAAGAAACGTCTAGATATCAAAGCACTATCCCCAGAGAGTGAAGATGCATCTAAATATGACAAAGAAAGACTACAAATAGTGGGAACTTCAAACATTCCAACACAAAAATCAACATCAAGTCATCGTGAAGGCTGGCCTGTTGTGGATCTTCATATGATCCCACATCTCAAAAGGCACTTAGACATTAAAGCAACATCACCACACTCTGATTCAGCTTTAATCAGTCACAGTGAGTATGAAACTGCATATTACACAGAGAGACCAGCAAAGGTGGAGTTTGAAGAACTTCAACAGGAAAAAGATCTAACTTTCCGTCATGATTTTTCTGCGAGGTGGCCTGTCTTTGATATGGACAGTATTCCACACATTAAAAGGCGTCTAGATGTAAAGGGACAATCAGTGGACCTTCCTTCATCTGGCAGCAGTGACAGTGAAGATGAATCAACATATTACGCAAGAAGGAATAACAAATTAGAGTCGATCCAATTACAAAACTTTCCATCCACCAGTAGAGAGCAACATTCAAGCTGGCCTCTGCTTGATCTTGAATATATCCCTCACATCAAAAGACGTCTAGATCTCAGATTGAAGCCTACTGATTCTTCAGGCCACAAAGAAAAGCCAGTACCAGAGAAGACAAATGTTGCAGACCTTCTTTTAAAAACCTCTCAAAGAACAAGTACTTATTCCAACACAAGTTCAGTTCATGATTATTATGGAAATTGGCCTGTCTTGGATCTTCAAACGATTCCTCATATCAAAAGACGATTGGATATCAAAACATTTTCTTTGTCTCTTGGTTCATCTTGTGGGAGTGATAATGAATATGAGACCGTACATCCCATCAAGATACCAGAAAAGGTGGAAATTGCAAAGCTTCAACCCCAAAAGAACCAGCCCTCCAGTCATGAGCTTCATGGAGGATGGCCTATCTTAAATCTCGGAAATATTCCTGACGTTAAAAGACGACTAGATATCAAGATGGCATCACCCCCTAAGAGTCGAAGATCATCTTCTAGCAGTGACAGTGAAAATGAGACAATACACTATATAGAAAGACCAGGACAAACATGGATGTTGTCAAAGGTCCATTGCTAACATCTCCAGCTCCAAACCAGGATCTTAGTGAAGGTTGGCCAAGCCCAGATCTAAGAAACATTCCTCAAGTCAAAAGACGTCTGGACATCAAATCATTAGCATCTTCTGGTTCATTGTCTAGCAGTGACATTGAGTATGAAAAAATATACTACACTGAGAAACCAGAAATGGTAGAAACTGTAACACTTCTACCAGTTAAGACCCAATCTTTGAGTCATGATCCTAATGCAAGCTGGCCCAGCTTAAATTTTGGAAATATTCCTAACATTAAAAGGCGTCTAGATATCAAAATGTCATCACCCACCCCAAGATCACCTACTGACAATAAATATGAAACATTGTATTACAATGAAAGGGAAGCAAAAACAGTAAAGAGTCCATTGCTAACATCTCCAACTCCAAGCCAGGATTTTAATGAGGGTTGGCCAACCCCAGATCTAGGAAACCTCCCTCACGTCAACAGACGTCTAGATATCAAAATATCATCACCCACCCCAAGATCACCTACTGACAATAAATTTGAAACATTGTATTACAATGAAAGAGAAGCAAAAACAGTAAAGAATCCATTGCTAACATCTCCAACACCAAGTCAGGATTTTAATGAGGGTTGGCCAACCCCAGATCTAGGAAACCTCCCTCACATCAGAAGACGTCTAGATATCAAAAGGTCATCACCCCCTCGAAGATCATCTTCTAGCAGTGACAGTGAAAATGAAACAATACACTACATAGAAAGAGCAGGAAATGTGGACATTGTCAAAAGTGCATTGCAACCATCTCCAACTCCAAGCCAGGATTTTAATGAGGGTTGGCCAACCCCAGATCTAGGAAACCTCCCTCACGTCAACAGACGTCTAGATATCAAAATGTCATCACCCCCTCGAAGATCATCTTCTAGCAGTGACAGAGAAAATGAAACAATATACTACATAGAAAGACCAGCAAATGTGGACATTGTCAAAAGTCCATTGCTAACATCTCCAACTCCAAGCCAGGATTTTAATGAGGGTTGGCCAACCCCAGATCTAGGAAACCTCCCTCACATCAGAAGACGTCTAGATATCAAAATATCATCACCCACCCCAAGATCACCTACTGACAATAAATTTGAAACATTGTATTACAATGAAAGAGAAGCAAAAACAGTAAAGAATCCATTGCTAACATCTCCAACACCAAGTCAGGATTTTAATGAGGGTTGGCCAACCCCAGATCTAGGAAACCTCCCTCACGTCAACAGACGTCTAGATATCAAAATGTCATCACCCACCTCAAGATCACCTACTGACAATAAATTTGAAACATTGTATTACAATGAAAGAGAAGCAAAAACAGTAAAGAGTCCATTGCTAACATCTCCAACACCAAGTCAGGATTTTAATGAGGGTTGGCCAACCCCAGATCTAGGAAACCTCCCTCACGTCAACAGACGTCTAGATATCAAAAGGTCATCTCCCCCTCGAAGATCATCTTCTAGCAGTGACAGAGAAAATGAAACAATATACTACATAGAAAGACCAGCAAATGTGGACATTGTCAAAAGTCCATTGCAACCATCTCCAACTCCAAGCCAGGATTTTAATGAGGGTTGGCCAACCCCAGATCTAGGAAACCTCCCTCACGTCAACAGACGTCTAGATATCAAAATATCATCACCCACCCCAAGATCACCTACTGACAATAAATTTGAAACATTGTATTACAATGAAAGAGAAGCAAAAACAGTAAAGAATCCATTGCTAACATCTCCAACTCCAAGCCAGGATTTTAATGAGGGTTGGCCAACCCCAGATCTAGGAAACCTCCCTCACATCAGAAGACGTCTAGATATCAAAATATCATCACCCACCCCAAGATCACCTACTGACAATAAATTTGAAACATTGTATTACAATGAAAGAGAAGCAAAAACAGTAAAGAGTCCATTGCTAACATCTCCAACACCAAGTCAGGATTTTAATGAGGGTTGGCCAACCCCAGATCTAGGAAACCTCCCTCACGTCAAAAGACGTCTAGATATCAAAATATCATCACCCACCCCAAGATCACCTACTGACAATAAATTTGAAACATTGTATTACAATGAAAGAGAAGCAAAAACAGTAAAGAGTCCATTGCTAACATCTCCAACTCCAAGCCAGGATTTTAATGAGGGTTGGCCAACCCCAGATCTAGGAAACCTCCCTCACGTCAACAGACGTCTAGATATCAAAATATCATCACCCACCCCAAGATCACCTACTGACAATAAATTTGAAACATTGTATTACAATGAAAGAGAAGCAAAAACAGTAAAGAGTCCATTGCTAACATCTCCAACTCCAAGCCAGGATCTCAGTGAAGGTTGGCCAAGCCCAGATCTAAGAAACATTCCTCAAGTCAAAAGACATCTGGACATCAAATCATTAGCATCTTCTGGTTCATTGTCTAGCAGTGACATTGAGTATGAAAAAATATACTACACTGAGAAACCAGAAATGGTAGAAACTGTAACACTTCTACCAGTTAAGACCCAATCTTTGAGTCATGATCCTAATGCAAGCTGGCCCAGCTTAAATTTTGGAAATATTCCTAACATTAAAAGGCGTCTAGATATCAAAATATCATCACCCACCTCAAGATCACCTACTGACAATAAATATGAAACATTGTATTACAATGAAAGAGAAGCAAAAACAGTAAAGAGTCCATTGCTAACATCTCCAACTCCAAGCCAGGATTTTAATGAGGGTTGGCCAACCCCAGATCTAGGAAACCTCCCTCACGTCAAAAGACGTCTAGATATCAAAAGGTCATCACCCCCTCGAAGATCATCTTCTAGCAGTGACAGAGAAAATGAAACAATATACTACATAGAAAGACCAGCAAATGTGGACATTGTCAAAAGTGCATTGCAACCATCTCCAACTCCAAGCCAGGATCTCAGTGAAGGTTGGCCAAGCCCAGATCTAAGATACATTCCTCACATCAAAAGGCGTCTGGATATAAAAATGTCATCACCCAGCCAAAGATCATCTTCTTGCAGTGACAGTGAAAATGAAACAATATACTACAAAGAAAGACCAGGAAACATGGATGTTGTCAAAGGTCCATTGCTAACATCTCCAGCTCCAAACCAGGATCTTAGTGAAGGTTGGCCAAGCCCAGATCTAAGAAACATTCCTCAAGTCAAAAGACGTCTGGACATCAAATTGTCATCACCTGCTCGAAGATCATCTTCGAGCAGTGACAGAGAAAATGAAACAATATACTACATAGAAAGACCAGCAAATGTGGACATTGTCAAAAGTGCATTCAGCGATGACAAAAGTGACAGTCAATATACAGACTTTCCTGAAAGATGGGATTTGGAGATTAGAAATGATCCAAAAGAGTTGCCAATGCCTGAAGAAAATGAAGATGTTTTTATTGTAAGTCCTAAAAAGTCTCCACTCAGCAACATCTTCTCCAGTCCAAAGCCGTTCCATAACATTACATTACAAAAGTATACACCCGTTACAGAAACCTTGGATCCTCAACCAGTAGACAATAACATAAGCACAACTCCAGAGATCAACCCAGAACTTCAATCACGGTGGGCCACCATGAATCTTGGTGTCTCCCGCTTCAGAAAACGTCTTGAAATATCATCACAGTCGTCACCCGATGGGAGTGAAGGTGAGACTGGGAACAAAGGCAGCAGAAGGCTACGAAGGAGAGGGGAGAGGATGCAAGAGATTATATCCACAGATTCATCTCCAGTCGTGGAGAATATTCCTCCCACTACAACCAGTCTGGATAACTACAGTAACTTAGGGGAAGCTAAAGAAGTCATCAGGGAGGAATACAGCCGTTCTACAAGTGAGGGCATTCCAACCTCACCCACCCTGGCAACTGGTTTTGGTATTCCTCCTATAAGAAGATATTTAGATATCAGGGTCCGTGAAGAAAGTCCTAATGAAAATGATAGAGTAGACTTTACAGAGAGTGCAGGTAACAGCCTGAGTGGGATAAATAAGGAAACATCCCAGGATCACACCTCTTTGTTTGTGGCCCCTGTCAGCAACCCCATGGATGGGTCACACAATAGAACAGAGATCATGGAAGTGACTGAACTAAAGAGCCAAACATCAAATGTTGGACAAGAGTTTGACCCATTGTGGCCATCACAAAGACATTCTTCCTCAGGAAGCAACAGTGAAGATGAGACAAGCGACCTGAGAAATGTTGGCATCCCACAAATTAAGAGGCGTCTGGACATTAGGGCACCATTCCCTCCTTTAATTAGTTCCTCATTTGTGAGTAAAAACGAAAATGAAACTGTGGAACACTCACTGAATCAAAGCAAATATCCATCAAGCATGTCAGACGTAACGGCGGATTACTCTCAAATCATGTATAAACGATCAATAATGAAAGGCTCTTTGCCAGTCAGTACTACTTATTCCACTGGTGGCCCAATTCAAAGTGTAGATCCTCTAGATGATATGGTAGACAGATCGTCTTCATGGAGAGTCACCAGTTTAAGCCTCGATCGTCCCCAGCTTAAGTCAAAGAGCAGCACAGCTGTTGACCTGAACCCTGAGATAAGATGGACTGGCCTTGGTCATCATTTGTCTGACTTCTCTGTCTCCAGTCCAGAGTTACCTTCAAGTCCACCTCCAATGCCAGAACCTAGCCCATCTACCTCCCTCGACTCCTCTTCAAGTAGAAGCGACACGATAATAAAACAAGACAATGAGGTGACGCTCTCATACAAATACCCTGTCACCACTAGATTTGAGACGACGGACGCCACATACACCAACAGAAATGAGATGTTTAATGCCGGGTCTGGTAAAAAAAGAAGAAGCAAAGGTCTGAGTGCTTTAAAAGCCATGTCTTCAGATCGGCTGACATGGGACACACAGGGTGAAGATTTAGGTGCTGTGTAAAACATGTTGAAGAGAAGTCATAGGACGCCACATAAAACCAACACAGGTATTTTCTACTACTGATGTTAACAAGGCCACACATCCGCTGTTGTTTTATTTAAAGTGCTACTGCAGCTTTTAAAGCAAAGTCACCTGTTGAGAAAGCTGATTTTGAATCATCAGCCTGGCAATGTGGCAGAGCAAGTTTGAAATAAGGTGAAATGTGAATTATCTATATTACAAAATTGGGAACTTCAGTTGCAAAAATTGAGTGTATGTGGTATTTGAGAATATCAGGGCACTTGTAACACCGCTAACTATTTGATAATGAACTAAGCACTGCAATTAAATACAAATATTTAAAATAAATGTACAGTAAAAGTAATATAAGTAAAAGTGATATATATTAATTCAATTTTCATATTTATTTACCATATCTAAGTCATGTACGATGGTTTTAAAAGTTGACTTGATCATTAAAACGCTAAGTGACAAATTACATGACGTGTATTTCGTTGCTGAATGATTTAACATTGACCAGTTGGAGCCAGTAAGTTAATAAACCATTTTTATTCATGTATATAGACATAGTAGGTTATAATGAAAACAGACATATAGTCACTTACATTGTTTACATACATATGTACAGTTGGGACAAGGCTGGTTCTCCTCCTGCACTGTTATAGGAGAAAACACAATGGACTCATCTCCACACAGTATTTGGTAAGCGATCCAGAAACTCCCTGGATCTTTGTGACTTTATGCTGATGAAGGTTTTCTCACAGCTTCCGGTGCAGTGGACTTCACTGCCAATGAAGCTGATGTTAGTTCTGGTGGCAACAGTTTAAGGTGGATATTCAATATGTATGGTAACAATGTGGTGCAAAATAAATAGCATGTGCTGTATACTGACGGTATGTGTGCGTTTGAAGGTATTGGAGATGTTGGTCAGGATGAGTGAGGGTGGGGGGACCTGGGGGTGCAGGAGGGAACTATCATTTCCCTGTGAGGTTACAGGTGTGTTCCAGATCTTAATAGTCACAATCATGTTTAGATCAACATCATTGTGATTATCAAAACAAGCACAAACATCTACACGAACTCCTGTACAAAAGAACATCAGAAAAATCTCTTAAAAAAAATATCATCCATTCACAAAAAGGCTCTGCTGGAACATGCATGCAAATATGAAATCTGACAATTCAGCATCACACAACAGCCAAAGACATTTTCTTTTTCTTTTCTTTTTTTACGTTACAGAACTTTGTACTCGGCAAAGAAAAGCTTAGTATCATCACACAGCTCCAAATCAACGGTCAGTGTCCACATTGTTTTGATTAGATCCTACAAATGGTACGAAGCAACGCTTTCAGCTACTGTACTACTCAAGCCTAAAGGACCTTGTCCTGAGAGGGTCACTGGTCTTCCACTGTAGTTATAACAACACTGTCAGTGTTGGGAAATATGCTAACTACAAAGAGAAACCTGAAACTACCAGTGGACTAAGGGAATACAAAACAGATATCATCACATTAAGACAAACTGGACACTGACTATATCTACGCCAACCTATAACACAGCCCAAACAGTGTGAAGTAATCCTGAAAAAAATCCCTGACCACTCAGCGTATCTCATGTGTGTGTGCATGTGTGTGTTCATTTTGGAGTCTGTTTTTGTGGCGTCTTCTCATGTGTGATGACCATACATATGGGTTTTGTTGCTTTGTGTGTTGGACGCAAAGTGACTTCCATAGTATAGAGGCACAAAAATACTCTTTAACAAAACTTACAAACAATAATTGGTCATGAGACCAATAAATGTTGGACAGAGCAATGGGGGCTCTGAGCTGTTCTGTAATAAGAGTTAATAAGCAGCAGTGCTGTTTTGAATGGTGTTGAGCAGGTTACTAACCTGTTAGGGTCAGGATGTGCAAAACAGCAGAAGGGTTAAAAAACTGGAAAGGGGGAGAGGGGTCACTGGCACAAATGAATAGTAAACAGCACAGGCATCAGAAACCTGCCATCAGCCATTTGACACAGTGTGCTTCTTGGAGCGCCATCAGCCTCACACATATGATGATCTATAGTTAGTGCTATCTGCCCACCAAGGTTCAAGTTCATTGCACAGACATATCCTACTGAAATGTGCCCAGGTCAACATGACCCTCTTTAAGACTCAGACACAATGCATGAACGGTCAGTTGTGTTGGTTACTCTGTGCTGCTGACAAATGATGACCAGTAGTTCGCCCACGTCGCACCAGTCTTATTCTGTCATCTATGTATGTTATGCAGTTATTCGAGCACAGAGAGCAACATAACATGTCACAGTGAGAGCAACTCTGCTGAGGGATTGCTGCATGCGTGCGACCTGGGTAGCACACACAACTCCACAACGACAGCCCTTCACACATGCACTCTGGGTAGCATGTGCCCAGACTGCAAACCCACCATGCCCACCCTAGCCCACCTGCAACCCACACTTCACCTTTTCTTGGAAGCACCCACTGTCAATGTGTTACTAATTGTGTACTGTTTGCTTATTGGATGTTGATTCTCATAGTCGTTGTCACAGTTGTATTCTTTTTCTCCGTTTCTCCCATTTCCTGCTGCTATGACATTTGTCTTTCCTTGTACCATTCCACAAACTCGTCCAACAAAACCGGCCCTGATGGGAGAGTGAACAGAAAACTCATGTTTAACAACATGCAAGTGCACTTTGTTTGCTAATTTCCCTGTGGGACATCGCTCACTTACAGGCACCATCT